CGTCTATATATATTAGATGTGAAGCCTGGTTCGCTTAGGAATCCTTTCCCAAGGTAATTGATTCCGTATCGACCACTACGAACCTTTCCAAAGGGAGCAAATTCACTAAATCAGTAACGATAAGGCAATTTGCCAGTAAGATCATAAATACCAAGTGTAATTTAGTCTTACAGGCCACGCCAGAGTACCGATCGTTACAATTCTTGGGAAATGCTTGAATGGGTGAGGCGTAAACTTATCTTGAAAATTGCTCACCGAATTTTTTTCCTTTACCGTTTTGATGTTGCAGGTGGTCCGATGGGGTTTCGACGCGGCGGTTTCCGGCTTGGCCTTCCTCACAGAAGCGAAACTCCCCGTCTTATCAATCGTCTCAGTTCATGAATGAATTCGACTAGGAACAGGGGAAGCACCCTCACTTCCGACTTGTTCCGTGCCGGTGCTCAGGGGAATGCTCTTCGTCTGTCACGTTTTCATGCTGGGCATCAGCTCATGCGTGGATGATGCTTCGACAGTGCTGTATAGCATATGGATTAGGTGAAACTCAACGTTTTTATGAAGCTAATGGTCCAGTAATCGTGCAACGCAAGCCAGAAATTCCCATGTTTTATATCGCTTACAGACTCGAACTCCGCGTGAAAGCACGAGATAATTGAAAAAGTCGTGACTAAGTACGTTCTTTAAGTGGCTCTCGAGCACATAAGAAAGGTTACATTTTTAAATATACTTGCAGGATTTTCCCTAGTAACATCATAGTAGTAATATCCATATCGATAGTGGCATTTCCTCTGCAGAGTTGAAAATGGTGCATGCCGGGGCTTCCAGGAGTCCCATGGCCTTCCTTCCCACCTCTTCAGAGGGAAGCCGACGGACCGCGATCGGCATCTTGAGTCGTCGCGCCGACGGAGATCCATACTACACCAGGCGCCCGGGAGCGTTTGCCGTTTTCACCCGAGTCGTTCGGGGAGTCAGGCGCTTCAGAAAATGCACACTGCTCCATTCTCTTCGGTCATCGTGGGAACCCACACGTTTTCGTGCTACCGGATTAAGTTCATCCCACGAATCGAAAATTTTTGGACATCTCACCGTCGTTTGAAATCCCCCAAGTTCATGAAAAGTACAGGGTGTCCGATTTGTCAGGAATCATAGGTTTTTTGTGGTCTAGCTTATGGCCCAGGGAGGCATACCATAGGAGCTTCGTGCCTTAGTAATACGCGCGAAGCCTATCAGACTATGGCTTTCTAGGCAATAAGTTAAGGATCGGACACCCTGCAGAGAATTCAAAATACTCGAAGGTGCGAATGCGAGAATTCTCCATCTGATTCTGGAAGATCCAGGCGCAAGCACATGCACCAGGCGCGCTTTGTGCTCGAGTTACGTATCAAAGCATCAGTCTTTCATATCTCTACGTTTCGCTACTCTCAAGTCGAGATTTGGATCGTGAACGGTAGAAAGCATTATGTTTTCCTCGGAACGGGGACAGCTGAGTCTCGTGTCTGTCGTTTTGGAGGTTCCGATTCCGAAATCAACACTGTCGACCCTCTCATATCCTCCGCCTTTAATTATGACGGTGATAATCTCGCAAACATACGTCGTACCAGCGTATGGGGTACTTAACTCCCTTACTACCGCGAGCCGTCACTTTCCCACTTCTTCCGGAAGGGGTGAGCGGAGGCGAGATATCTCGCACAGGGCGCCAAATATCCCAGGCATGGCACTGTACTTCTTACCGAAAGGTAAGAATATCCCACTTCCAGGGGAAATGTTCCAAAGCTATGGAAGAATCCGTTCCTTCTATCGCGATGTTTTGCATTTGCACCAGGCGACAATTGTTAATTGTCGTTATGATCCGCCTCAAATGGCCAATAAGAAACCCATCTTTGACCATCCGTCAAACCTGTCAAATGGAGAAACTGGATCAATGCTCGATTTAAAAAAATTGCAACAAAAGAAAGTTTTCATTGTAAAGGTGGAAAGTAGACTCCCAATCTGCACAATATTGTTCCCATGTTGTTCAGCTGACGATGATGATCCAGTGCCTCACCAACATTGACTCAAGTTGCTTACCCAATACCCTGTCAACGTTACATCAATATGTCGGACGAGACATCTGGCAGTTACTCTCACAAACAAGGCTACTTGACCCCAAAGTGAGATTGCGACAAATCGCCAACACATCGAGTTACCTCATACATGCAACTGGCATAAGTCCCCAGTACTTATGGACTGATACCTGGCATTTTCTATGCAGACGAAGCCAGGAAGACATATGAATTTCTTGATACGTTCCACGAAAGAGGCAACCCCACCTTGCATTTAACTTATGTTCATCAGCCACAGAGGAGACAGGATGTTGATGCAGATGACATTTCATCAAAGATTGTCGCTGAGAAAACTCTGATGTGAAGTGATGAGTTGCAACTGCCTACAGGCATGCATTATGCCACCTAAACTCATAGGGAACACTTATGGAAGGCATTCTGGATACTTCCTTTCCTCAGCTTCACTGATCCTGTTGCTGAAGAACTCATTTTTCCTTAAGAAGGGCATCCTCCTTTTGCAGAACTACAAGGTGTCTGGCAGGCATGATATTCTCCACAGAATCCAAGAGAACATCTCACCATCCTCCCATAATGAGGTCCTGCATTAAATACAAAGAAAGACTCAGTGATGTTGACATGAATCAATGTCTTCATATCGATTTCCTCCGTCACAGGAAACGTATCCTTCTCTAGGATCAGTCTGTGAAGTGGTAACTGTTCTCATTTGTGACAAAGTATGCAACAATGGCTTTGTAAGGTTGTGAGTCTATCTGTTATGATCAGAAGCAGAGTCATACATCAGTCAACACAATTAACAATCACTGCATTTTCCAAAAAGCAATCTTTTTTAAAACTTTGAAATATTGAAAATATATCATTTCTCTCACTTTCAACAAGAATAATCATGACTTGAATCGTCTACAATCCCCTCTGATACACAAATACAATGAGTCCCATTGACAAGGAAGCATTCTATGAAGCAGGGATGCACAACAAAGAAATGGGGGGAAAAATCCAAGAAACTGATCCAGACTACCAACTTCAGATTAAAATAGAAGTAGGGAGACCTTTCTTTTATTGCAAAATCTTCAACACTGTTAATTTTGGACATGTTGATATTCTGGATGAATGGCATACCATACAAAAGGTCAAGAAATACAGACCCATGTTACAAGGGAAGAAGGGAAGTCAAAAGAAGTGTGTAAAATGAGTCAGTGACTACTTTTTTAAGTGGGATTGATCAAAAGCACACATGCACATTATCCAAAGCATCCCACCAAAGACCACCTCTATACTGAACTCCTCAGTATGCAAGACCCCTTGGAAAAAGTTGAGGAGTTCATTCCTTAGGTGACCTTCAGGTAAGCTAAAAAGTTAAAATAATGAGCTGATGCCCTCTAAAAATTGCAGAGGCATTGCTGATGAGAAGATTGCAGCAGAGAAAATCAGCGATGGATATTATTGACAATCATCCCACAGGTATGACAACACCCAAGCAGATATTTCACCTATCAATTTGGAACTAAAATGATACGACACTTGGGACTTCCTCCAAATGGGGAGGAATGCTTGGTGGAATAAGATCCAACAGACATCCCTCATATGAAGCAAACAAGGGTTAAAAAAATTTGTATTGGATTTTGCACTTTTTTCTTCCAGTGTTTGTGACATTGGCCAAACTGACATGAAGCATTTAACAAAAAGGCAAGAAATTCAGTTCTTAAGGAATTCTAGTATATGAGAAAACTTATGAGATTCACAGTCTGGCTTGCACTAGTAGTCACATCCAGTTCCTTACAGAGAAAACAAATTGGAAGCATAGTTCATGTAATCATACTTAACAAAGCTTAATGATATGAATTATCAACTTCCTGGTGTGCTTATACAAATAAAATTTACAAAAAAACCCTGTAAGGGTGCATTTAACTACGCAAGAAAGCAATGCATTAGAAAGACTTACAGGAAATTTGAGCAGAACACTGCACATATCTGAGGAGATTGAGAATGGCTGCTGGGGTAACTCCTGGAATTCGACAAGCTGCTCCTATCTACACACAAATGCAAACAGCAAAATTCCATGATAATTGGAGACTTTTACAATTTATTTGCATTGTTGATAAATAGAGATTTATTTCAAAGTGGACTGATCAATATTTCACCATTCCATTTGCTGACTGAAAAGTCTTTCTATTGCAATATTTCAGAGGAAATCAAAAGTCATATGTGGGTCTAAAACACTTAACTCTTTTAACCCATCTTTTTTGCCAATGAACTTTCTTTTTAAATTCATAATTTTTCTATAAGGAATCATCTGTGATGAGAAAACTATTGTGTGCTTTTCTTTTAAGTAATTATTATATTGCTAGAAGGTCCTGAATTTGACTCAGAAATAAATTATTTATGGACATGGAAAGCTGAAAAATGAGTTAACTTAGGCATGGGAGTTGAAGGGCTAAGTGGCATAAAAGATAAACCTTTGAATAAGTAACACAGCAATATCATTGTCACAGTATGTTGCAACCAAAAGAAGAAATGTACATGTAAGTTACTGAGACATAACTGGAAACCACAGCATATGGAATGAATGCCACATAAATGGAAGAGCGAGTCAAAATGAAAAAAAAAAAGCATTGAAGATAGACATATCCATACACTTTCATATATACAGGGTGGGGCAAAAAAAAAAATTATTTTTGGTAAATTGTCAATCTGAATGTATGGTACAGATTTAGATGGCATTTGGTAAATGCATAGGGTGACTCAATTAGGGTTAATGTGCTGAGGTTCAAATCAATACTCCTAAAACTGAGATTGGCATTTAATTTACCATCACAAATAAAATAATTGTTCCTTTTTTTTTGTCCAATTTAAAATTTCTCACAACTGACAAAAAACAGACAACAAACAGGACAAAAACAAGATGCACAAATTCCAAAACCGAAAGCACACAATTTTGTTTAGGTAATTTAGATCAATGGCTCAGTCAATAAATCTTTGAGGTAGTGCCTCTCTATATTCCTCTACAGCAACACACAAGGATGGAAGGTAATGAATTCAGTCATCCCTTTCATCCCAGCATAAAGTTCATTTTTTGACACTATTGTGTCACACCAGATTTTGTCATGGGTCAACAGAAAATAATTATAGCTCCTATAATTTTGAAGCCAGAAGGCTGGAATTTCACATAAAAACTTCAATTGTGTCACCGCACAAGCCTACCAAATTTAATAGGAACTGGCAACCTATTAGGTTGTTGCAAAAGTCCTGTCGGTATTGACAACTTTATTTTCCTCAACTTTAGAGCTTTGGAACAAGCGAGGCCTAATCGACCACATATTCACCATAGTTGCAGATGACCTTTGTCCATCTTCTGGGCAGGTCATGGATGCCTTCTCTGTAGAAGGACTTGGGCTTCGAGGCAAAGAAGTCTGCGAGGCCAGTTTCCATGGCCTGTCGATTGGTGAAGCAGATACAACAGACTGTCCTTATATACCCATACCTACCACCCACTCGCCAGGAATTGTCAAAGCCTGTAAGTCTTATTAGAACATGTTACATTCAACACCGACAGGACTTTTGCAACAACCTAATACAATGAGATTGATGACTCACCAAAAATGACAGCTTTATTTTTTTGGTTCACCCTGTATATTTACTATGTGAAACACTTGTCACAACTTGACTTACTGATGCAGGCTTGGCAGTTGACAACTTCTCTCTAGCTTCTGTAGACAGGCTCAGATTCAAGCTGAATGAGGATAGAAAAAACACACCCAAATAATTCAGAAGTGGACTTTTCTTGAAGTCTATTTCATCCCCAAGAACTGCTTTTAATTAAAAAAAAATTTTTTTTTAAGCACTAATGATATTCAAGAATAATCAGCATGCAAGAGACAGGCTTGATTGCCATTAGCACCAAGTTCAAACTGAAGCAAATCATGACTCAGAGAATCATCAATTATTTTTTTGAAAATATTAAAAAGAATGAGGGTCTGGCCTGACTGTCATCCTGACATAGATTACACATAGAGCACAGTTTCATGTGTGTGCTCAAGCCAATGTCTCAAGTGTCACTACATCAGCCTATTCAATTCAAAATCAATGCAAACATTATGAAACTCCCACAGGCAGGGATGAATTATGATTCCTATCAGTAGAAATGCATAATCTGATTCTTGCATTGAATCACTGCCAGTTCTCAGAAATCAACCATTAATGGGATAATAGCTGAGTTCTATAATGTTACAGTTATGAAACTACTGTCTATAAGCTTGCCATCTGTTCAATCAGCACAACTGAACAACAGTGGAACCTAGTACACATGAAACTTTTTTGAAAAATAACTCACTAAATAATTACCACCAATCTCAAGTGAAAAGCAGTTATGAAGGCTAGGGGGTTGGGGAGAAATAGGAAACTATACCTTCTGTAGTCAAGATCCATTGGAAGCCGAAGAGCCTCATTCTCCCGCACTTCACATAGGGCCTCCTTCTGTGTTTCAATGATCCACTCATATGTTCCTTCAACCTTAGGCCAAGTAAAATTTAAAAGAAAGATCTAGGAATTGGAGAAATTCAAACACAAATCAAATGCAATACTTTCATTAGAAAAAAGAAGGATCATATATAAGGGTAGGAGCAAGTATTAACCTGGGGATGGGCCAAGTTCTCAGAAAAAGAGAAGAAATATTTTTTAGGTTTTTCTTTTTCTTTTTGGGGAGTTTGAATTGATGTGGACTTCAGCACTTGAGAACAAAGAAATAACCACCCCAAAAATCATAAATAATAATTATCTTAACCCTTCCAGGCTGTGTGCAGGGTGATTTTTATACCATATACATTTTCTGCAATATCTCAGTGAAATGCTTTTCCTTATGCTTCATTTCCTGTAAGATCCTAGGAACATATCAATGGACACTCTACATAAATACTGTAGAGGTTTGAAACTCTGAAATGAACTTTGGTAGTGTCAGTAGCATGGGCTCTTGAAGGTGCTGAATAGCACATATCTGGGAGAGTTAAAGTAGCTTTGGCTCTTGTTCAGTCTAAAGTACATTAGTACCTTAGACTTAACTAATGGCATATGCCAACACTGAGACCAGTTGGGATGCAACTGTATATGCATTGTAATATCAGCCCAGTACCCAAAATGAGTACTGTGATGGCAGTAATGCTGCACCATACCTACAAGGACTTCATATATTTTTATAAGGCCAATGTGTGTGAATCAGGCTATTATCATTACTTATATAAGTAAGTATAAATTTCATTGTTATTCCAGGTCATTTAGAACAAACTTATCCTGAACCAAAACATACAACCCAGACAGACAACATGTAATAAATGTTCTCTGATCTACTTTTCAAAATGAAAGACTACAGATGAGATGCTGTAAAAGGACTAAGTGACCAACTAGATTTGACAAACTTGAGGGATTAGACATGCCTGAACACCAAAACATTTCCAGCTTTGTGGGGTAAAACTGTATGACAAGAGGACCACACTCATTGAAGGAATACAACTACAAAAGAGAAAGTCACTAATGATGGCATGAGTGGGGCCTATAAATCATTTCCCTCATTGACAGATATACATAAAAATCCAAGTCCTAAACTGAGACTTCCTCAAAGATGTAGCAATTCAGCATCACTTTTAGTCTTTCATTTTATCCAAGCTTTCATTCCAGTATCTATCTTCAGCCTTCCTCTGAAAATGGAGACAGCAGTAAACCATTTTCTTAAAAAACTTATGCCACATTAAAGCTTCATTTTAACAAGATATAAAAAAGAAAAAACAAACCTGGTTAGGTCAGCAGCCCAACTCATTCTAGCTTTCCCAAAGGTCCAAAATGTTATTTTCTTGTGCTCTACTCAACTTACAAAGAGATTGACCTTGACCTAAATTGCAGAGCCATTCATAATGATAAGAGATTGAGATGCATTTAACCTGGATTCTGAAGAGGAGCTGGGGATCTGGGTCCAGTTTGTCCTTGAGATCTGGGATGGCTTGGGCAAGGTCATCCAGCCCCCAATGTGCCAGCATCTCCCATGCACTGCACATTGATCACACACAGGTATCACACACATCAATACTTCTCCAAGATATAAAAGATAAGTATTTTAGGCATGGAAAGAGACACTTAAAAACCCTTTTCTTTCACTTGCTAAAGTTTTCACTAATTTCCTTAAAATACTGTGATCATGAGAATATATGCTAGGCCAAAATATCCAATATGTGAAAAATGTCTAACTTGTGCAGAAACCAGGAGTGCTATGGTTTTGTGACCTTGAGACTAGCAAATAATATCAGAGGACATTGAATAAATTTCACTTTTTTTTTAATGCATGCAATTCAAGCAAAGCATATCCACTAATCATGAAACTTGCTACATGATAATAAAAAAGCAGCAGTGGGTAAGAAGGACTATTGCATTTTCCTTAACCACTCCGTCAAGACCTTGATCACCCTGTAAGAATTGTCAGTTATTGTATGCTGAAATCAAGTAGAACATGAAGATGCATTAATGAATTAGAATAATGTGACTTTTGTCACATATCCTAAGCAATGTATAGGAAAATACAGTACTTTAAAAAATAGGATAGCTGACAGACATCTTTCTTGATATGGTGAGCTCAACTCATATTCTCAAGTTATCAAGCAGCAAAATTGGCAGGACTCTGACTTGATGAGGTGTTTGCAATACCATTTTAAAGACCTCACCTTTTGTGAGCATGGAGCTTGGCATTCCGTGAAGACTCAGGTGGAGGATCCCGATGGAGTCGCCGGTACCAGGTCTGAAGAGGGAGGGATATGCCCTTCAAGGTCTCTGTCATGTCCTTCAAGGACTTTTCAGTCTCACATAATTTTTTGTATCGCTCCTCACTCACTAAACCCAATCTGTGTCCTGCATAAAGTCAAATAATAGGAATGGAAACGGATTCATATGTGAATTTACTGTGATATTTTGAGGCAAAAATGTTGGAATCAAAATTGCACTCAGGTTCTATACCAACTCAAATGTGGAAAAGCACAGACTAAGTGTACCAGATTTCTTTCATTTTCTTTACATCTACTCAGGACCCTATCACTTTGCTTAAAGCCATCAAGCTCTGATGGAGGTTATGACTCAGAATCACAAGTAGGATTCATGTTGAATATCACTGAGGTCCTAAATGGGTCTACTAAAATGGTAGACACAAATGCACAAGATGCATTGATTACAAATATCTATCCACTTCAATCATATTGAAGGTGACATGTCCAATGGGGAACCTGAATGTAAAGGCAGATCATACAACCTGATAGCAATGGGGAAAATCACTCAGAGCATGCCAAAGAAACTCCAAAAAAATCTCAATAATCAGAGTATCAATGTCAAGTCATCAACATGGAACACTCACATGGGGGCATCCTCATAACATTTAATTTCTGGCATTTTCACCATGAGAGGAAGTGTAAGAAAGTGAGCAGCCTTCATGGGAATAGACTGTAATTCCCATACAAGCCTATGTACAGGGTGGGTGAAAAGTCATGTTACCCCAGAATTGCGCCATGACTAGCACCATCACTGCTTCACTCATTGGGGCACAGAGGTGAGTCAGTATTGTCGCAAGCATGGCGGACATGAGCTCTTAGTCAATAGAACAAAAAATGGTTGCTACCGTGTGGATTCCTGAAAGGCTTGCCACAGGTCCAAGCATGGGTGATATCAAGGCAGCATTTAGGGAACAGTTTGAGAAAGTACCTCCATCCAAAATATGACACTGTCACAGTGGGAAAAACATGCATTTGAAACAGGAAGTGTGAAGAATAGGAAACTCTGTGGAAAACCTGTTACAAGAATGGACATGTGTTGGTGCAGCAGCATCAATTGAACAGTCACCAATGAAGTCGACAAGAAAACGATCATCTGACTTTGGTATACCGAGATCAACCATGTGTGATCACACGAAGACAGACCTTCAAGTGAGAGTGTGGCATCTGCTGTGTGTACGTAAGTCCGCGCAAGTACACACGTGGACCTATGTAACTGCATAAGTTTAGGGGTAATGCAACTTTTCCCCCACCCTGTACAGAATATCACATCGATGATTATGGATTGGGCTCACTCCTACCTTTGCGGGTGAGTCGGAGGTCAGCATTGTCTGGCCGGAGGGAGACCCGGAACTCGGCACGGCTGGTGAACATACGGTAGGGTTCAGAAGTGCCCAGTGTGGTTAGGTCATCAACCATCACCCCAACATACCCTTCTGATCGGGACACCCTCAGCTCGCCTTGTTCAAGCACCTGAACATGTAAATATTCTTTTGAGAAATTCACCACCTGTTAGAGGCATCTGGGAGTAGCACAAGCTTGAAAATCCTAAATTGAAAATATATATATTGGTACCATACAATGCCCACAAAAGCTTGCAAGGAAAAATTAAAGGCACTCTTGATTGGAATATATGAAATTAAGATTTCATGATTGAGATTAAATAACTCATTGTGGCTTGAACCAAGATATGAAAATAAATTTCATGGAAGGACCATTGATTTAGCACAAGCATTCTCAAATGTTTTCAAATCTGTAACCCTGTTTCATAGGAGGCCAACAATATGTAGTCCCCAATTCTCATCTTATTAAAAATTAATTACACATTTTTGAAAATTTGAAGAGGGAAGAATACAGTTCTATATGGAAAATGTATTTTTTTTTAAATACAGCCTGAAATTCACCAGCTTCACACTGAAAAAAGCAGCAAGACTTTCAGTCAAAAGCAGGTACACTTTAAGCGATAGGGTATCTTTTTGTCAAGCAATTCTGGCCTAAATTTACATTTGATCTGAATAACCATGAAAAACCAGTATTGTAGCAGTGCAACTTATTCAGGGTGATGAAGGGTATTCATCAGAAACCATCTTTAGGATTCCCTTTATGAGTCAATTCACCATGGGATCTCACTTTAATTCAATGCATGGACCTGCAAAATGATGTGCCATTTCTTACAAAATGTAAGGAATGGCACATTCATCTGCCTTTTAGCAGCTATTTCTAAACACACAACTGTTTATGTCACAGTCAAGTCAAGTCACAACAGTTGTCAATTTGAGGCTCCTAAGCATAAGCAGCTCTGGTTTTTTATCTGGTTCGAAAACAATGTAAACTCTTAATGAACTACTTACTATGAAGTTCCCAGTAGGGCAGAGTTTCTCAAACTTGGGGTCTCAACCCCCTGAATGCATGAAGGTTCAATGTGAGTGAAATAAAGTTTGAGAACCACTGCAGTAGGGAAATGGCAAAAAATGGAAAATTTATTAGTAAATATGCTGCCAGTTTCAAAAGGAGGGAGTGAAAGACTCCATCTTCCTAATCATCTTGTGACTCCTTTGTGACACCCCCATTCATAATCCACCATGAAGGAAATGCTGATTTAAAGGTTGCACTTTGTTCAGAGACTCTGGTAAAGAGTGAGATTAGGAATGACAGGAAATACCTTGAGAGCAGCATTTGCTCCAGCAATGATACCCTGAGCAGCAGCTTCCTCATACCCAGTTGTCCCATTCACTTGTCCTGCCAGGAAGAGGCAAGGGAGGCGCTGCGTCTCAAGGGTCCCCGAGAGCTCCCGTGGATCCACGTGCTCATACTCCACCCCATACCCTGAGAAATATTCCTCTTCAATGGTCTCATTGCACCTACAGATTAGCAGGAATATCACCACTTATCCTCCCTAGGAGTTGCTGAGAATATCCAAGCCAATTCCTTCAAATTTTAAGAACCTCAGGACCTTTCCCCACATTTATTCCTCCACCTATATGGGGTCCTATGAATTCCTTTTCATTGTGCAAATGAGAAGAACTACCTGCATTACTTAGGTAATGCAGCCTTGTAGCCAAGATGTGCCTTAATCGTCTTGAACTGCGAACATGCTAACTGGAGATCAAATTGAAGCTATTGTAATTCCTAAAATGTATTAGTTATGGGTACTCCAATGATTTCATTTCTTCAAGGAGATTTTCTCACTGATTCCATAATTGATGAATGGAATATCCTTCTCTATTGTTTGATGTATGTTTTTCCTTAGTCTACTATGAAAGCTGGAGGGAGAGTGGGAAAGAATCACCAGGGCGGAGAAGCTTTGCAGTCTCCAGGCCAGGAATAGAACGGATAAGTTGGACCTGGTAGTCCTCTGGCATAGTGCAGGACAGGCCTTGTGGGTACACCTCTCGGCAACAAAAGCCCTCTGGCTCCAACCACACCTGGTGCCTCCGACCACCAAAACTATAACAGGTTCCCCATCCTCAATTTTAAAAAATATACAATGATTTTCTTCACTTTCATAGTCTTTCACACAATTCCTCTTATCAAATCTGTACTTTCATAAACAAACATGAACAGAGCATGCACACATATAATACATGTCACATGCAAACTTATTCTATTGTTTTAAGTGTTTTATGAGAAATTTTACTAATTTCTCAAATGCAACTGGGTATTTGTGATTTCCAAGATGTCCATAAAACTTGATTAATGCATGCATCTTTCCCCATATTTGACCTCCATTCCCATATCTCTATTCTAGAACTTCCCCAGTTTCTCAAGATTGGCAGGAAAATATGGGGAGAGCAGGACAAGTAATGTCTGACCTTCGCAAAGACTTTCATAAGGGTCAATAAGAAAAGTGAAAAAATCTAACATCTTAAATAATGGAATATTAAAGTTGCAAAACTTTAAAACTTTTGGTTGAGAAGAAAGTGCTCAACTTTTGCAATCAAGTAGAATATGTCTCATTATAATTTAGAGGATTAAAATATATTTCCAGCTGTCAACTGTCAAGCTTCAGGTCAAAATTGAAAGGCATTTTAACATTAAAAAAAACCTAGCCATTGTAAGTATTAAAAATATATATAATCTAAAATGATCTGATTTATGGTAAAACTCCTCAAATAATGATACAGACCTATTTTAGACATGCTATTGTTTATTCATTAACTTGCCTTGCAGACATCTAGGGGAAGCATAGATAAATAGTATCATGCAATCATAAAAATGAACTAGGAAAGGTTTCTCTGTACTGATCAATTCAGAGGGAAAACTCTGACACCTAATTAGTCTCAAGATCTTTCAATGAAGATTTGCCCTATCTTAAGTTTGAAAGAAAACATTTATTTACATATTAGGGTGGTCCCACTGGTGAAGGCAACACCCTCAAATGATCATGTATATTATATTGTTCCCTACCCACTTACTTTTTCATGGTTTTCTTCTTCTCCTTCCTGTTGCCATATTCACACCTCAATCAGAATTTCCTTGTAAAATTTTCTTCCATATATTGCTATTTACACCTCAATTTTCTGTTCTCTGTGCGACATTCAGTTCCAGATCTTTCCAATGTCCATGCATGGAAGTCCTTCAATACTCCAAAGAACAAAAAATGAACATGCCAATTCTAATGTTCACACTCACCGAAGCACCTTGGACTCGATGGAGGGGCAATAGCGTGGGCCCGACACTTCCTCCTTCACGTGGCAGTTCAAGTGAATACTATCCCGCACAATGTGCTCCACCTCCTCTGTTGTCCAGGTCATGTGACAGTCCAGCTGTTCCTTATCCTAATAATTTCCAGGTCCACCATCATTCACTATTGCTGCAAGAACTATGAATTTAACTGTATGCAACTAGTAAATAAATTTAACTTTTAAAAATCCAAGTCTCAACAATTTCCACAAAAGATTCTAAGAGGATCAGAAATCTCCTTTTTCATGACCATCAAAAAGTACAAAGAAGTAATGAAAGAAAACTTGGTGAATTACATCAGCAATGATGAACTGTTTTTTTCTTCAGCAAATATGCAAGGACCTATGAGGGACAGTAAACTTCAAATTTAAAAAATTGATATTATCCATAGGGTAGATAAAAAGAATTGGAACTAAGAGAACTAAGTGATAAGAGCCAGGTGAAAAATTAAGCTTCTCACCCGTATGGCAACCCGAGAGTTGAGAAAGCTGAAAGGCGTTGCAGGAAAATCTGGAGGGTGAACCTTGGTTTTCTTCCAGTTCACAGTACTCCCATCAATACGAGGGGGTGTCCCTGTCTTCAGTCTGGCAGTGAGAAATCCCAGTCGACGAAGGGTTGTGGCCAGGGCAGTCGCAGCTTTATCCCCAATGCGACCTCCGGGCCTAATGTTCAACCCAAGGTGGAGCTCAGCATCCAAGAATGTTCCAGTTGCCAGAACAACACTCTTGCTCCTGATAACTTCTCCTGAAGCTGTGTAGGAAAGAAACTTGTATATCCTCACTTTTCATCCTTTTTTTTTTTCTTGTATTTCTTTTTTTTTTACTGATGATTTTATTCCTTCATGAAATCTGCCCAATCCTTTTTTTTAGTTATCAGCATCATAGGTTACATAAAGTAAGCCATGTCACAGGCTCGGGGTGCAATGCCATCCAGAGCATCCACTTCCTTCAGCAGGTGACCTTTCCCAATTCCCCCAAATGAAGGATTACAGGACATTTCACCTGTAAAACGGGGATTTTTCAATGTAATGTCAAAATGATGAAGACTGGCCATAGTAATCATATTAGGCCTATATGGGCATTCTCCCAGCATAAGCCTAATAGCATATCTGCTCCCCCTGGCAGACAGGACACATGCACATTCATATCAAGAGAGCATTTAGGAGAGAAAAACATACATGTCCTGACTTTTGAAGAACTCCTTAAAAACACTTCTAGCTTGAGTTACGTGTAGAAGTGGTTTTTTAAATGAGCTGACTGAACCCTTAAAAAGTACTTCATAGGCCTAATGTTATGCATATTACGGAAGGTATACCCTCCCTTCCCATGATGCAGAATAGAATTTACCAAGGAAACTATCACATATAAAGAAGTTATATATACATTCCAAGATCACAATAAATTTGGGAAATATGAAGCCATATGCACCGAAATCACGATGCAGGCCTATTACTGCTGAACCCATAGAAACCGACAGTGAGAGAAAGCTCAGATTGAAATAAGCCACGGCCTACCTATAGACGAGAATCGGTGCGTCAGCAAGAGGGTCCTGGCACCGATGCGAGCAGCAGCCGCCGAGGCTTCCGCCCCGGCATGCCCCCCACCGACCACTATCACGTCAAACTGGGACTTCAGACCCTCCGCGACCGTGGAGATCAATCTGGCCGACCTCTTCATTTTTCAATCAGGTCCACGTTGAACTGCCGAGTCGGTACTCGCGACTAGCACGTGAGCACAGAATGGGATGCAGGGTTGCCATCACCCAAGTGATGCATTATTATCTTCCTTCTAACAAAGGCGTCATTTTTTCTTTAAGCGAATTGCAACTGAACTTTTATTCGACAAAGCATATCCTTCCCCGCGAATGTCCGACGTCGCGGTCTTGGGAAGACTCCCGTTCTTGTATATTGCCTGCGGTTATTTGCGAAGGAATACGTACCGTGGGTAACCATGTGCATGTTTCTAACGTATGTTGAGGTAAGTGAGATAATACTTCCCATCCAGTAGCGTACCCAGAAAAACCGCCTGCGGGAAGGGGGAAAGGGTTATGATCCCCATAACCCTACCCTCCCCTTGGGCACGCCATTACTCCCATCAAATACTGTAGTTGGGAACTGTTTTTTTTTTTCAGCCACGTCAATGCCAACGTCCGAGACCATTGGCGCGCGAGCATTCAGGACAGCGAGAGACCGAACGAGCAATCTCATCCATCGAGGGCCCTCACGGTTCTGGGATTTATACGGTGCTCAGTTTCAGCGCTCGCCGGCGAATGCTAAACCGCAGGGACCACTCGAACCCACAACTAGCTCGATTTGGTCGAAGTTAGCGCCCCATAACGGATAACCATTCGATTCAGGTTCCACGTCATCGGCATAGATGTCAGCATCCGCGCTGACAGAGTCCAACTCAGGCTCCCCAACGTCCAGATGTCCGCTCCATGCTCGGCCCCCATTCCCGCAGCCAAATTTCCGATTCACAAAATCGAGGTCTGTCGACATTCCATCATAGGCCCACGTGAGTGCAACATCCAGCGTCATGCGTCTCGGAACGGCGTCTCCCCACCCGGGAAGGCGAGAACACTTGGGCGGTGGAACTCGCGGGCGATCTTCGAGCCGGACTGACCGGGCGATGGATCCAGTGAGTATTTCAATCACGTCTATTCGCCCGTAAATAAATTTTCCCGATCGATGAACAATCCTTTGCTCCTTGGTAAGTCTATGAGCCATTTCTGCCAACGAAATTTTGAGCCATTAGCCAGAGAGTGGAATCACCTCACCCTGCAACACGACCACAATCAAAAGATTTCGGTGGGAGGGGGTTGGGGGTTGGCCATACTGTTCATTTTTAAGGAATGGGCTGAAGTTTGACTTGTTTTATTTTTCAGAACATTTCAATGAAGTTGATCAAATTACATGACATCAATATCACTAAATTTTCCAAAAATGAATGAGTCTTTTATCTGACCGGAACATAACGGGATTACGCTTTTCTGCCTTTGCCAAATCTGGAGGTCTTATTTCCGGGTGGCTTTCTCCCTAAACCCAATACTGTACTGTACAGTATAATTATAGCACAGCTTTCCGAAAGCTGTGAGAGCTTTCACAGCGAAACGCAAAGGAACACAGAGGAACACAAAGAAACGTGAATGACATGACCAAAATCCACTCTCTTTGCCACTTGGTTTAATTTTCACTGCGCAACACTGTTTTTTTCTGTGCATTCGCCTTTCGCTTGCTTCGCCCCCCTCCCTTCTCGGCGCCCCCTTCCTTAGGTGGCGCCCGGGGCAGATGCCCCCCCTTGCTCCCCCATATTTACGGCCCTGATAACAAGCCACCAGATGTCTCTGTAATATTTCGGAGCCCCCCCCCCC